TTAATGAGATAGCATATCTAGATAATTTAGCAGTGCCAGGCACATAGTAAATATTGTAGCTGGTAATAGCAATTATTATAATCCCTAGGAAGTACTATCTTTTTCATCGTGGTGGTTGTATTAGTTTCCTATGGCTGCTGTAAACAAATGGTCACAATTTTGGTGGCTTAAAACCACGCATTTATATGCTTACAGGTTTGGAAGCCAGAGATCTGAAATCAGTTGAAATCAGAGTTGAGGGAGGCTGAGGTGAGTGGATTGCCTGAGCCCGCGGGTTCGAGACCCGCCTGGGCAACTTGGTGAGACCTCATCTCTACAATTAAAAAAAAAAAAAAAATCAGCCGAGCATGGTAGCACGTGCCTGTAATTCTGGCTACTCGGAAGGCTGAGGCGAAAGGATTGCCGGAGCCCAGTGGGTCGAGGCTGCAGTGGCCGGGAGAGGCCACTGCACTCCAGTCTGGGCGACAGAGTGAGACTCCAACTCAAAAAAAAAAAAAGAATAAAAGAAATCAGAGTTGAAATCTGGGTTGAAATCAGAGTGTGGCAGGACTATGTGCCCTCCAGAGGTTCTAGGAATCTATTCTTTGCTTTTTCCAGCTTCTGATAGCTTCCAGTATTCCTTGGCTTGTGGTTGCATCACTCCAGGTTTGGTTTCTGTGATATTGCCTTCTCCTATGCCCCCTGCGTCCCTCTTGTAAGGATACTTGTGGTTACATTTAGGGCCTTCCTGAATAATCCAGGGTAATTCCCTCATCTCAAAATCAATATGAGGTAAAATTCATGGTTTCCAAGGATTAGGAAGTACATGACTTTAGTTAGGTGCCAGTGATTAGACTATCACAATGGTATGTAAGCATGACCCTATTTTTTTTCCTCTACTGTTAGAAAAAAAATAGAATTCTATGACTTACAGAATCGGTCAATTCTAACATCTATCTTTTCTTTGTGTTTTGTGTGTGTGTGTGTGTGTGTGTGTGTGTGTGTGTGTGTGTGTGAAAATAGGATATGCATAATTTAGGCTTTATTTTATTTTTAATTGACCAATGATGATTGTATATAATTATGGAGCACAATGTGATGTATCAGTTTATTTATATCAATATGTAATGATCAAATCAAGGTACTTAACATATCAGTCACCTCAAATATTTATTCTTTCTTTGTGGTGAGAACATTCAAAAATCTCTCTTTTATCTATTTTGAGATATACAACACATTATTATTTTATTTTATTTTATTTTAAAATTATGGGGTTCAGTTAAAGGTTAGGTATACAAATATGCATTGTACAGGTACTCTTGTTGATGAGGTGTGCCCCGCCCATCCCCAGACAGATATTGACTACCGTTAATCCCACCTCCTTTCCCCTCCCTGCCCCCCCCCATAGTTTCCCACCACTGTCAATCCCTTATAGTATTACGATAGTTGTTCAAGGTCCACTTATGAGTGATGACATGTGATACTCAGATTTTTGTTTCTGTAAGAGATCACTCAGTATTATAAACTCTAATTCCATCCAGACAACACATTATTATTAACTCTAGTCATTGTACTGTGCAATAGAACATCAGAATTTATTTCTCCTATTTAACTGAAACTTTGTTCCCATTGACCTACGTCTTCTGTTTCTCCACCCTCCCCATCCTCTTCCCCAGCCTCTGGTATCCACCATTCTACTCTCTACTCTGAGTTCTACTTCTTTAGATTCCACCTTTAAGTAAGATCACGTGGTATTTGTTTTTCTATACCTGGCTTATTTCACTTAACATAATATCCTCTAGGTTTATCCATGTTCTTGCAAATGACAGATTTCCTGTGTAAAAATAGAATCTATTTAGATATGGACATGAGTTAGAGGCAAGCTTAATTTTTTTTCAAATAGATAGCCACATTATTTCTCCCTCTGATTTAAAATTCATCTTTTGTTACTTAACTGTCACATAGCAACCACTGTAGCCAAATTTGTTTCTTGACTTCATTTAGTTCCATTAATCCATTTGGTAGGTTACTGCAGTTGTGCTATGCCACTTTAGTTACTGTAGCATTAAAGTATATATTTCTAGCTGACAAATTAAGTTCCCCTTTATTCTTTTTCAGTTTTTATGGCCAATAGCTCTTCTACTGTTTGGAATGGTGGTTTTTTTTTTTTTTGTCATTATGTATTTCAACTTTAAAAATTTCTTATTATCATTTTAATGTGGTCTTGGGAAGAAGAGGAAACAGATTTGTCTGACTGACATAATATTCCTCTTACCCTATTTCTTTTTTTCTAGTTGTTTTACATACCTAATTGAGATTAGTAATCCTGTTATATTTTATGTTTTATCTGATTACTTAAATCTCTTTTTCTTCTTCTGTTTGTGCATGCTTGCTTTTTTGGGGGGGGTGGGAGTGGTGGCGTTTTGAAAGGTGGTGGTGTCCTGCCCCTATCCAACCCTGGCTTCTATTCATATTAGGAACAAACCTACAAACCTCCCACTTTCTAAAGAAGCTGTGGGACTATTTCTGTGTCCTGCTATTCTGTGTAAAGAAACCAGCCTCGTTCCTGATGTCCTTTAATTTACCTTTAAATTGATGCTCATAATGCTTCTCCAATCCTGATCCTCTGAGCTTGGGATTTTCCAGGACCCTTTTCAGGAAACCTGAACACTTACTTCTTAGGAGGTCTTTGCAGTCATGAGCTTATCAACACTAATTAGCTTTTCTTCCCATGCTCCATCTACTTTGTATCTTCCCCCTGTTCTTCAGTATTACCCGTGATGTTTCAGTCCTATGAATGTTTTTTTTGGGGGGGGGGATGAAAGGGAATAAATGTATGAACTCAATTTACCATCCTCAAACCAAAAGCCCCGGAATGGAAGTCATGGAGGGGATTGAAGCATCATATGGATGACTGAACCAGATGACCTTCTAGCCTCATCTAACTCATGGGTGCTTTTCTTTAAAGTCTAAAGAGTAAAGCAGCATAATTAAAGATTTGAGAAACAGCTTTTACAAAAAAGGCCAGAGAGATAGAGTTTAATTTACTCAGGAGAACAGAATGAGGCAAGATTTAAATGGTGAGTCACATTAAACCTGCTGAAGATACAGAAAGAGGGAATAAGATTAAATTATAGCAAAAGTGATTCATGTTGATCCCTAGAAAGACCATTTAACTCTTAAGAAGATGTGTGGCATTGCACTGCAGAGCCAAGTTAAGAGGCCTCCTTTCCTGGAGCTAAGTTAGGAGCTGTTCTCTTTAAAGGTGAGAGGATGGACTTGAATCACCTTCTGAATTCCCTGACAACCTTGTGATATGATTATACCTTGGTGCATGGGATGTTAGATGGGGAATAAAAAGCAGTAGCAGGAATCCCCATGGGTAAAAAAATCTTGTTTTCACCCATCCTTACTGATCTTGTTTGTTTGTTTTTAATGTGAACAGAGAATGTTCTTGTCAGAAAGATGTTCTCCAAATTTTAAAAACCCGAGTGGAGACATCTTTAGCTTCTTCTCAAACACGCTGGAAAGAATAGGAAAGTCAGTGCTCCCTCTCTCCCTGCAGTTACTGAGTCTTCCCTAGGGCTGGGTTGAAGAAGAAGCTGGAAAGGGCGTGGGGGGCTGGATCAGGGAAAGGAGTGACAGGCTCCCTGTGGTAGGTCTGTGCCTTGTCATAGAGCCTCCTGGGCTCAGGTCTGTGGTGGCCACAGAAGTGCCAGCTCCACACTGTGTGGCTGGTGACATTTCCGGCTGCCAGGGCCCAGCCAATCAGTGACAGGCCCAGCTAGCTAGGGCGATGACACATGAAATATGATAATTTTCTGCTAAAGAGTCCTGGAAGGGGGGAAGGAAGGGAGTGTGTGTGTGGCTGGGAGGGGTCCCTGCTGGAGCACCTGTACCAAGGTGGGAGGGTGACAGTGCATTGATTTCAGTGGTTTGCCGGATGGGACTAGGCAGGGGAGGGGATGGGTTTGGATGCTATAGTGGCTGTGAGAGAGCATGTGGTGAGGTGAGTCTCTGCCATGCTTCTGGCAGGGGGCCAGAGAAACCGACCACGCTGTGCTGAAGCTCTGGGACTGGGGTGAGAAAGAAACTGTACAAGGTATTTGCCTTCCTTTCAAACCTCAGCAAGGTTAGGAGTTTTGTTTCTTCTCAGCGCTGCTTCTTTAAAAACCAAGGCAAAAATAGAATAAACACTGTCTTAGTGGCTGAACTTGTAGGGCAATTTTTTATTTTATTTTTTAACTTAGGTTGGGTGTTGTCTGTCCCTCTACCCCATTTTTCTACCTCCATACTCAACCTAGTTCTTCAAAGAAGAGTACATAACAAAACAACAGCAACAACAACAAAATATCTCATTAACAGCATCTGGACAGAGGGCCCAAGTTTGCATCTTAACCACTCTCAGGATTCCTGAATCTGGTTGGAAGAAAATAGGTCTTGGAACAAGATGTGGTCCTGGATCACATTAGAGTTAGAAGTAGTGCTAGAATATTCTTTGGCTTAAGGACATGGGCCCTGAGGCTGCAAGACACGACAGAGCTAGAAGTATCCCGTGGTGAGCTCTGGGGTGCAAAGGGCCCCACTTCTCTTGTTGCTATCACAGGCTCCCTAGCCTCTGATCACCAGCTAGGGCCTGGTGAGGCATGGCACGCCTGCTGACAAGAGTCCCCTGCATGGTCTGACCCCAGGAATGTGTGTTCAGAAGTAAAGGATCATAGTGTTTACATAACATGCTGATATAGTCACTAAGAAGCTCATCATTGCAATAAATATTTATACCTTACATTTGCATTTCTCTCTCTACATATATACGTATTATATATGTGTATATCTATTCTGCATATATGTCATTTTTCAAAAAGCACCAATAAATGAAATCCTTCCCACTGAGTGCAAGCCTGCCAGTGGCTTCAAGCGTGGGACTGGCTTCCTGCGCTGGGAGCGATAGCTAGTTCCAAGTGATAATTGGTGTACTGTGTCTTTAAAAGGTTAAAACCCCTTTCAAAAAAGGTCTGGACTCCTAGTGGAAAAGACAAGCGAGGCATGGGTTGGCTCTGGATTCAGAAAACAGCTGCTGATTAGATTCTCTGTCTGCAGGCTGAATTTATTCCGTGTTTTTCAGCAGCAGGAATTCAAGAGGGATGCTTCTGTTTGGGTTTCTGATCGTGATTTATATTTATTCAGAGGAATAACAGAGGGTGGATCTGTTCCCGGCGCGAGCATGCTCACAACCAGCCGACTCTCCCATTATCCAACTGCCTAGTTTGGTGTTTCCATGTACATGGCTATTCCGTGTGCATATGTGTGTATACAAACACGCATGCATGCCTGGATGGACACACGTATGCACAGGTTATTTTGTAAGGACAATTCTCTCAATAAGGTCTTTACCCCTTACTTGAAACAGGTGTTCATGAAAAAAACGCACAAAATCCTGCCGGGCCGGAATAATTCATGAAGAAGGGGCTGGATCCGTGGGTCAGAGAACACAGGACCAGGTTGCCATCCCAAGGCCGAAGGTAGGGGACGCTGGGTTTTCATTCGGCGGATGGATTCCTCGCGCTTTATGTTATCGATTGTGTTTTCGCCCGCGGCTGCCCCCGGTTCCGTGCGGTTCCGTGCTGGGGCTGCCTTTCTTGGGCAAGGCGTCCGGCCGCCGAGGCGCTGGGGCCGGCCGGGTGGGCGGCCGCGCGGCGCCGGGTGCCCTCGGCGGGCTGAGCTGGCGGCTCGGCCTGTGCCGGGAGCGGCGGGAGCCTCAAGTGACCCCCCGCGTCAATCAGCGGCGGCGGCGGGGCTGTAACCTTGTGCGCGCCGCGCGCTCCCGCGCCCGCGGGCAGG